CCTACTAAAACCTCAGCAATTCTATTTACCAGATGGACGAAGGAGCTAAGGCTACACGCCATGGTGAAAAAATTTCGACTATGAACAACCCGAAAATACTCGGAAGCACCTTCCGCAGCAAAGTACTCAAATCGCTAGCCGGCAGCACTTGGAGCAAAGTCCAAGCAGCTTTGTTGGTAACATATGTACAAGACAATTGACCGGCTGGTTGGAACCTATGCACAAATGTGAGCACCCGAACAGAGCCCTCGCCAAGACACATTAGAATGCATCTCTACGAAATGAAGGACGAGGTCCAGATGGTCATAGACCAACCACTGTACGCGACTCTGTACATATAGGTCATAAACGGCATTCACAGGAAGTCTGTCTGAAACTGCACCAACTCCTGTTCTGTGACGCCCATTTTAGAAAAACTACCACCTACCGTTGACGAGATAGAGCTTCAATTGCCTCGGCACACCCGCACCACAATCGCTCAACTTCGTTCTGGCTACTGCAGTAGACTTAATTCATACCTGATCAGAATAAATTCTGATGTACTTAATGTATGTGCGGCAGCAAGAGGAGAGTCTCCGCATGACTCGTAAACATCTCTTCATATGGCCCGCGCAATTGAACTAACGCCACACTCCCTCTGGTCCAATCTTGCTTGAGTAGCACGCTGTCTGGGCCTTCCGGTACAACATCAACTTCTGACCTGTAAGTAATTCTTCATCCCCAAGCAACTTTTCAAAAAAAAAGAAACTCGGTCCTGAATTCTTTAAATTGAATAATCTTTAGGTTATCTCAAATCTTTTCTTTTACTAAAGTAGTTGATGCTTCGTATGTTTAAATTGACCTTCAGACATCATGTAAAGGCTTACTTGTAATTTGTACAATTTTTGTAATTTTTTAGTCTGCTTAGAAGTTAATAAATAATTTCGTTATCTACAACTGTGCAACATCTGCAAATTTGCTGCCCTGCTGTGCAATGAATAAGCAATTTTGGTATGTAGAATCCAAATAATAAATCTGCAAGCTCATTCATTCAAGCCTACAAGTTCACTAAGGCCTGCGTAATGTGGGCAGATAATTAAAATTTTTCAACGATGACCGGCCATGCTTTAACATTTCCCATAGTGCATATGCAATATGCTAATATAAGTACTAAGCAAAGTAAAAATGTGAGAAAACAAGTGTATGTGCATGTAGCTAGTTTTTTTTTATATGTGTGATCAGTCTTTGACCTCTTCCGGTCTTTTTTTCTTTAAATTCCATTTCAACTTCAACTTGACCATCAATGCCAGCTATTTCAATTCTTAGGCACGTGTTTTTGCGCACGTTTTTATTTTGTGGTTGTTTTTTGGCCACTTGATTGGAAAAGTGGCTTCATTTTATATGCATCTTTAACAAAAAGATACACACTTAAATACATGCGTATATGTATGTACAGTTATATTTCTAGTACTTATATTTAAAATTTCGGGTAACTGACCTAACTTCACAAAATAAATAATTTAAAAACTTGCCTGAAATTAAATGTACGTAAGTACATATGCAATTAACTTGTATGTATATATGTATGTATGAATGACCTATGCAGAAATCCAAAATAATTTCTTTTATTCATATTCATAATTTTCTTAGTTTTGGCACTCATAAATTTTTTCATTCTTATCTAACCTCACCTACTGTAACCCAATCGATTAAAATCTTATTCAATATGACTCAACTTAACCAGACATTAACAATGTGGGTGCTCATACTTGCTTGGTTTACAGGTTATATGGTTAAAAATTATTATTTTATAGTGTAATTTATTGTTGTTAGCCAAATAAAAAATATAATCACATAACCACATAACCAGATAACCATATAACTGGACAGGTGTGAACACCCACAATGTAAATACATTTTTTTTCTGGGATTTTTTGTTACCGCACCACCCTTCGGATAGTTGTTGGCCATTTCTTCACGGGAAACAGAAAGTGATTAAACGCTGCCGCTGTTATGTATGCTCTACTATGATTCCCGATACTTTATGATCTGCCGTAAATATTGGCAGAAAGGTTGGGTTATGTACATAAGAGTGTCTTACAAAAAAAAATCCAGTTTCCCGCCGGAAACTATTTGCTTCAAATACATTTTATAATTCGGGTGGAAAACCGCATTTCTTTGGTGAAACACGCTAATGTACATAACTTAAATTAAATTTAAAGCCTTGGCCGCAAATATTAAAATTTACGTAAGCTGAATCGAATTGAAAATACCTACAAAAAAACTCATTATTTTGATATGATTTTTAAACATTTTTATGCAGATCCTTTAAGCTTAAGCTCTTCTATTATCTGAGGTGATTTATTCGACAATAAAAAAAAATTTAAAACTAAGTTTATTAATAAAAAAAGCTCGATTTTTGGAGGTATTTTCAAATCAGTCTCGCTTACGTAAATCGTAATAATTTTAACAGACTTCAAAAAATACGAGGAGGTTATCAATTCGTAACCATTTTTTTTTTGTATGCCACTGCATAAGTACTTCTTTTTTTATCGGAAAGGTGGTATATGAACGGTGGTCCCATACTAATTTACTTAGATCCAATCATTGGATCATAAAGAAATCAACGGTACTCCAAAATTTTTATCTGAGGATTGAAGTCGACTGTGTTTTCCGATTAAAAATTACTTGTCCCAAAATATTTTGGTGTAAGTATTGAAATATAATATACTTCATAATTCCTATCTAAAAACAGTCGCGATTTTTTTTATGAATAGTGATATACCCAGATTTACATAAATAGTTGCTACACTTTTAATGTATGACGTTTTTTGCACCTGATCCCACTGACCCCAGTGGAGCTGCATGTAAATAACTGGACTTTTTTCATTTAATAGTAACTATAATCTGATTTCGCGTTGGTCCATTACGCTTGTCATTACGTGCGATAAAGCTCCATTTATCTTCGCTCACTTTCCTCTTAGTGTTTCTTAAATGCCAGCTTAGAGTCGGTGGGCAATCCCATGTTATGTTCTTTTCCCTTACTGCCAAGTTAGTATTTGGAGCCTGTTTAGAGCTGAGTAATACAATTTCAATCTTCCAAATGGCAAACTTCAGCTATGCTTTTGTGTGCCGATTTCTAACTTAACTCTCCCTATCTTATCGTTAAAGATTACTTCAATGAGCTCTAGTCTTTTCGCTTCCGCTACTATTTCAGGTATATTAGGCTTGAAAAAACACTGTCGTACATTGCGTTCTATGATGCCGGAACTAGAATTAATCCCAGATGGTCGCCGACTGACACCATGTATATCTTAAGTGCATTATCCAGGTTGTAAAGGAGTACGCTCTCTTAAATTTGTATTATGAAAATGTGCCAGCATGTCCGAACCTTGGAGCGCTGCCTTAATTTTCTTTCAGTTCGTCGAGTTGTATGCTGGTTAATCAAGAGGTTTAACTACACGGCTTCAGAAGAGAAACAAGCCGTTGCCTCTTTCCTATCCAAGGACGTACTTTCATTCTGAGTTTCTATAAGCGCTACGCTAGGTGTTCCGTTCTATTACTGTGCTTTATTGTCAACGATTTTGGCAAGCCTCCTCTGAGCATTTTTGTTTACTGACCTCAATGGCAATCAATGGGCCGGAAGCCTCTCTATAAAATACATACTTAAATAAAAATATTTACATAATAGCCAATTATATCAACTTAGTTAAATAAATACATACTTATTATAAAATTCAGTGCCCGCAAGCTCTTTAATTGCCCATTTAAGCCTATTTATTTACAGTCAATGCTACAGCAAATTTAGTTTATTAAAATTATAACAATTAAGCAAATTATTTCGATTGAAACTGTAGCTCAAATTATGAGTTTTTTTACTCTTGGGATTAATGTGATCTTAACACTTACTGGATCTAAATTATATTTTATATGAAATCATTTCTAAACATACATATGTACATAAATAACTGTAAACATGTACATGAAGCTGCTATTGGACAACAAGCGCACATGCAACATTCAAATATTTATTTGGCCTGCAGTCAAAGCTATACTTATTGAACACTTGATAGAAAAAATAGAAAGACAGAGATATATTTCATTAATTACAAAGAAAAAAAATTGTCTTAAAATAACCGAAATTTCAACGGCAAACGTCGCAACCCACACTAATATTGTGACAAATATAAAAAAGTATAAATAATGAGTAATAAAAAGGTAGTTGTAGCGCAGCTCCTTTGGCATCATAAAAAGTGCAAAAACAAATAAACACAAATGTTGTTGAAGCACATCCCATTGGTGTGTATTAACCCTTTCGACCCGGCTTTCGAATAGCAATGCTAAAATAAAATTTTTGATTGGAGGCAGTTACTTAGGCAATATATAAACTATTACTGAATTAAAATCTGAAAAACAATAAAAGGGTGGCTCGGGGGGGTGGTGGTACACCATTGTACCATCCGGGATGTTATGTGGTACAAATAAGTACCAATCGTCCAGTAAAACACACTATATCAAAAATAAATAATAGGTACAATGATATAAATATAACAAAAAGTACTTCATATTTTATTGATTTCTTATACAGATTAGTGAAGAAGAATAGGAAGGTTATAATGAAAAATGTGCTATACATATAATTCACATATGATATGGTGCAAAGCACATTTTGCAAATCGGAACTTGACATTCCTTACAGATGGTCTTAGTGCGTCTCTGTTTGTTTTGAGCACTGTAACTGGTACAACTACGTCGGGTAGTTCCTTCAACAGGAAGATGCATTGCCTTGTGATTGAGAGTTAGTGGTGCGCGGCCTGGTTTTATTGATCGACGAACGGCTGTCGTTTGTAAGCCATCCTGAATCAATGCCTCAGCTAAGGTAACTAAAAATGATTTGAATGGAATCTTGTTTCGGTTCAGGTCATTATAAATGACCCATGCGTTCGACGCTACTTCCTCGACAGCCTCACTCACTATGTCGTCTGCTAAATCGTCGTTATCGCTGGAACCAGAAGCATCACTTTGTACAGTCCTTCAGAGCTTCCGTCTTCTGCGGAATCTTCGTTACCGCTGGAGCTAGAGACACCACTTGGTACCAATTCATCAGAGCTTCCTGCTAAATCGCTAGGACTATCAGCTTCATCTTCCAGAATTTTTCGAATATCTTCAGGATCCATTTTCTAGAAGAACAACAAAATTTCTTCAAAACGGGGATTTGCAATATCTACTACCCAACGGACTATTAATACATATATGTACCACCATACCGGACGAATGGTACATATAGGTACCATTCACTAAAATAACCATAAAACCAATATTTTTTTTATAAATACTTACCTGCCACAATTGTCAAAATTCGTAAAAACTTCAATTCTGCTTTATTTTCAATATTTTCGGCGCTTCAGCACTCAATATCGTGTAAAAACCAACTACGCGTTTCAATTTTGCTGGAACGCAACTCACAAATAACGGCGTCGTAAACACAAACAGCAAACAAATGTAACGAAACCTTTAGGAATGCATTCAGGAAACCTTAGAGACGATAAGGTACATTTCACAATCCAGAAACATTCAATTAGAAACTTCTAGGGATGTTTAAACTTTAAGTGGTACACATATGTACCATCCGGGTCGAAAGGGTTAAAAGACAGACACCTGCGTACGTGTGCATTTTACAAGTGTGTACGTATGCAAGTGTGTGTTCAAGTACTATTTATGCGGCCGCTGTAGCCGAGTGATTAGAGGTGCGTACTACCGCCCCGTGGGACCAAGGTTCGATTCGCGGTCAAAGCAACATCCCAAAACAATTATAGAAAAATGTTTTTTTTTTTTTTTTAAACAGCGGTCCCCCCCGTCAGCAGGCAATGGCAAACCACCAAGTTTAGTATTTTTACCTTGACATAGCTTCTCATAAAATCCATTTTCTGTTCCGAGGCGGCAAAAAATGTGTAACAACATCAAGGCGCATACCACAATTTGATGGAAAAGCTCGGCCAAAGACTTAGCAAAAGTGCAAGCGCCATTTTTTTTTTTGTTTGTGACTAAGTAAGCTCCAGATTTGTCAATAACTCATCAATAGTTTAAGAAATTTTATGCGCTTATAAATGTATAAATAAATATGTATGTATGCATGTAGATATTCGCCACTTCACTTCAGTTTTGCTGGCATTTTGTGAATTGTGAAATGATTGAATTTGCGCTTGCGCTGTATGACGTCTGCTTCCACTTTGGCTTGTAAACTGCAATACCCCTTTTTATTTCGGCACATACATAAGCTGTTACAGTTTAATGCCACTTGACATGATTTTAGAGTGCAAGAGGTTTTCAAATTTGTTTATTGTTTTTTAATAACATTTCTTCATAGCATCCACAGCATAACAATTTCGTTTCTTGCTAAATTTAAAAGCATTTAAAATTTTTATTACATGTATGTTATGGCTTTTGTTTTTGGTTGCTTGTTAGAGCTTTACTTGAGAATATTTAAATTTGTAATCGGATATTAACAAAGCAATGCTAAGTGTTAAATTGAACTCGTAAACATCAGTTCATATACATATGTATATATGTATATGCACATATGTGTAAACTTTTGTGGATGCTATGAAGCTTCACACTAGATGCAATTATTATCACAACTCAGCAGACTTCCCATTTTTTTATATCAGAATCCGAAACTAATATTATTTACTGCCGCTAATGAGTTAATCATAGCTAGACTCTTGTTTTTGTTTCTCTATTGGTGATTAAAGCTCTTAGAGCATATATTTCTATTGCAAGGGAAACTATGTATATGTATTGCTTTTCTCTTGGCCATAGATGTCCTATGCACCTCTGCCTCCTCCGTGAAGTGGTCTCACAAGGAGAAGGTGCAATGAGTATGAGCCAAAAAAATTGACCAGCTCCCTGGCTTGTACAAGTAACCTCTTAGACTGCAATGACACGTCAAAATATCTGTAATAATTCTTAGCCTCTTCTTGGGTAGGCTTATGACCAACCCGTATATATTTAGGTTGTACCCCCCGGGTAAGACCTTAGCTTGACAAAGACCCTTGGTGGTTTGCCAATGAAGTTCCCTCGGTTTGGTGTTTTTAGCACTTTCTTAAACGGACCGACCAGAACCGACCTCAAGATAGAGCTGAGGTCCTATCGGAGTCGAGGCATCTGCCATTCTGGCTATCTGATCAGCTTCTTCATTTTCTTCGACAATACTATTTACACCCCCATTTTTTTCAGTCCACTATCTGGTCTTTTACACGGTAAAGTTTGTCTGTTGTTAGATAATGATATATTATTGTGAGATGTCCACTGCAACCTAAGCGTATATTGTGCCCTTTGCTCTTCACAACACTTCTATTAAACTTAAGACCCCTAAAAATCTAAAAGAGCGAGAGAAAGCCTCTTCTAAAAATGGCATGCATTCGACAAGGGTGTCACCTTGGTCAATTGGTGCTGTTTGCTCATTGATCTTCCTTCACTTTAGAACTCGTCTTTGATCGTTTTTGAACCTATTGTCAGCAAGTGCTCAGGGCCAGTGGGAATCGCGGCAGCCACTTGCCTGTTTAGTCTGTCCAATATCTCCTTTCTCTCTATTCCCTTGCGATGATGTTACCTCGAAAGATGAGAAAGCAGTGAGTCCTACCTGGCTATCACTGAGGATAACAATTCTCATATTGTGGTAATCTATACTTAAATTTATTTTAGTACACAAACTGATGGCGTAAAATTTTGATGAAAATTACTCGGGTATATAGGCCTAGCGGGCTCCAAAGTCCTCGATGTTATGACCTTTTCTCAGTTGAAATTGAGTTTGTTTTGCCGTTTGTTCTATGGTTGCGTTATATGGTATCGTTGTATTCGACTTCCGATTGCATTGAAAATGTTTCATGCGACTAAGCCGCACAGTGTACGATTTGGGAGTGTCGATGAACAAAATCGTGAATCTCTCGATTAACATACAAATACGGGTTCGAAATCTGGCATAATGGCGTATAAGGGAAAAATAGTGCCTTCATATAATCATTATATAAAAACCCCAAAAAATTTGGTTGAAAAGTGAAATTTCGAAAAAAGACCATGAATGCTTTGCTGACTAGATTCAGCATAAAAAATTTGGTTTTTGGTTTCATGGACTTTTCTTGTAAATTTACAACCGAGGAATTCAAATTTAATGTCAAAAGTTGCCTAAGAAATCTTTTAGATGCTCATTTTTAAATTGTAAACTTTTTGTTTATATTTCTCAGATTTCGAACCCATATTTTTATCATATTTACAATTTCGTCCATCGACACTTCAAAATCGAACACTGTGCGCCGCTTACTCCCTCTTGACGATTTTTATTAAATAAAAACTCAAACGTTGTTTATTTTTTAAACTTTGTTTTATACAAAAATGCTCTTTATTGATACTTTTATGACATGCACAATTGATCTGGCTTACACATAAGTTCCATTATTTTCTGGTTCATTTACAAAGACAATGATTACGCTTACATAAGTAATTCACATATTGCGATGCATTTACATTTACATTTTCGTTTTTTTTTGTATTCTGTTTTTACAAAATTACAATATAAAAATTAATGAGTATTATTTATGTTAAAAAATGAAAATAAAATGATTTTCGCGGGCGCATTGTGTGATTTTTCTTTAAGGATAATGGATGTATGTAAACGATTTTGTTGTGTGTGGGCAAATGAATGTACATATGTATGTATATATGTGTCTGTGTTGATATTTTATACAAATTGTATGCTTCTGTGTTGTGAGTTTTCAAAAGCTTTAGTTGAAATATACTACAAATGAAAGTGCTTATTGGCTAAGAAAAGATAGCGGCTACATTAAAACGAATAACAAAATTCACAACAAATTTTACTTCCGCCACAAAGCGTTGTTGTTGTCACTGCTGTTGCTGTTCTGTTCTTTGTTGCTGTGATTTGTTGGTATCGATGGCGGAAATAGATGGCAAGCGACGGGCATCGTTTGGCTGATTAATTGTCATAAGGACTTGTGGAATTGCGTTGAAGAGTGAAAGCAGCAGAAGAAGAGGCTTTGAGTTCGGTTAGAGTTGTGATAGTTGCAAAGAGAAACGAAGGAAAGGAATGTACACTCGAATTGAGTGGGAGCTTAAAAAGGCAAGAGCTTGCCTGTCTACATAAAATGGGGAGATGAAAGTGAAAGCTCTAGGCTGGCGCTTTCAAATCACGAGCTTACGTATTGAATGCAGCTTATTAATGTACTTTCGTCTTTAACTTAAACTATAAAGGAAAATAAATGAAAGATTAACTAAAAAACGTGAAAAGTACTAAAAAAAAACGCTGGAAAGTCACTAAGCCACAGAGAGATTTCACATCCACCACTCACTCTCTGCCTCTCCCTCACTTCATATTTCCTTTGCTCTCTACACTCACCAAACCTTAACTTCACCTTCTTGCCAAAATCTTTTCACTCCCTTCAGCGACACACGTCCATGGCTGTACGACGCCTTATTGGTAGCCACCGAATTGGCCACCCTGACCGCCACGTCCCCCAGCGCCGGCATTGCCATTGAAACCGCTATTGACCTGTTCGTAACGTATGGTTGGACGGTAGCCATTTCCATCAGCCTCATAGTCGACGATTTGCTTGCGACCATCGGGCAAGAGCACATAGTAACGGCCCACTGCCAAATCACCATCGCGCTGTTCCATGTGTCCGAAGTCGTTGCCGGATTCATAGTCTTGCACATCGTATTTGAATTCGTATTTAGCTGGTCCGTACTGTTCGTCGCCGCCATAACCGCCACTACCGCTACCGCTGCCGCCACCATAGCCGCCGCGACCGCCCTGTTGCTTAGGGAATATGGCGCCGGTCAACGCGGGAGCGCCATATTGCGAGCTGGGCGCAGCTGGAGCGCCATACTGTGAACTGGGCGCACCGGCAGCGGGTGCACCATAGCTGCTGCTTGGTGGCGCACCACCAGCACCGCCGCCACCGCGTTGTGGGGGCAGGTAGTTACTGGACGGAGATTGGTATGACTGCGTGGGTGGAAGGTATTGATTCGAGGGCTGACCACCTTGATTGGGGGGCAAGTATTGATTTTGCGGCACTGGTGGCTCGGCGCGGGCGAGCGAGACGCAGGCGAGGAGGGCTATCGTTGCAAAGCACTGAAAGTGAAAGGGGAAAAAATATGGAAAAGCAAAAAAAGTTTGAATGAAATTGAAGAAATATGGTTAAAAAAATTTGGCAACAAATTAAAATATTTCGTCTAAGAAGGAAGAACATTTTGTTGGCTTAATTAGCAATTATCTAAGCAGCCAGTTAACCCGCTTCTTTTAAATGTTAAGTACTATCTCAATTGCGCCTTTCCCAGTTACTTTATCGTTTCTGAAAAATCCAATTAGCGCGGCTGCTCACTCCCACTGCCCTATCTTTCACCCACATCTACAAAAGCAGATTTTCAATTAACTTTTATAAGCCATTGTGAATTAATTAAATTTTTAAAATCTACTTAAATGCATTACACAAAAATTCATAAGCATAATTAACATTTGCATTCGTTCGAGAACCCCCAAAAAAAAAACTCCCCACCAAAAAGTTAAATAACTAAAATCGCAAAGCGCTACACGCGAACGCTGTCAAACAAGTGCAAACAATGGCAATTAAGTTGTCAGATCTAATCTAATAAATCTGTCAGATGCGCGCAGCGATAAAGTGCTAAAACACTACCAGATGCCACAGAGACACCCAGACCGACCAAAAGACAGCCGCCTTAGCTGACAACGCCGCCGCCGCCGCCGCTGCGGAAACTCATTAAAATGTGCAAAATGGTTGTGAGAAACGTGGAGCCGTTGAAATATGTGTAGAACTATGCAGATGATGAGCGAGCTGGTGCAGCGTTTTCTGAGGCAATTTACATTAGCTGTGCAACTCATAATTATAGGAAATTAACATTTTATGCATGACGATGACAGTTACACTTTGCTGCAGGCGAGCGGGTGCTGAAATGGAGAAGCGACGAGAAGGCAAAACCAAATGCTGTGCAATACATTGTTTTGGCAATGTGATATGGCCAAAGCGAGGCGAATGCTATAGCGGCACTGAAGCGACAAGCGACAGCACCTGTTACTCATCTGCGAGCTATGTACGTCAGGCTGAGGCGCTTTATCTTGCTGCATGCAAATCCATTTTGTAGGCCTGAGATGGCAACACACAGCGTCACTGCGCATTTGAATGAATTATTGCAAAATTTTGGCTGTTTCGATTTTTTTCTACTTGTTTTTTTTTTTTGCAAAGAATTTCAAATGAAATATTTAAGTTGTATTTCACAGCGTCAGCGCGACAAAATGTAAATGTTGGCAATTGGGTCGCCAAGAAATGTTGAGCGCAGCAAGCTAGGGTGTACTTAGTAGAAAGATTGATGAAGAGTGTTGCAAATGGAAAGGAAGAGGCAGAAGACAGTTGCAGTCGCAGTGGCAGAATGGAAGTGCAGTTGACAAGCCGCCGAGCGTCTGGCGTGCACATATTGCGTTTCAAACAGATTTTCTTAGCTCAGCAGCTAGCAATCTGCTTGCGCGCTAATGCAACTTATTTTATTTTTTTTTTCTCTTGGCAACTTCATTTGCCATGGGAGCGTATTGCGCCTAATTAAAAGCGCGCAATGCGACAAGCATGTGACGACTTTTTAAGCGACCAGTTGAGTGTAATCTCATCCCTGCAACAGCTTCATTCATTTCGATCTATTGCCGCTATATATGTATTCTAATGTAGCATGTTGCAAGTGTAACTAAACGCTTGAAATTTACCGCAGGTCATGCTTGCAATTCTAGCAAAACAGAAGTTGAGCCGCAATACATCATTAGATGCGCAAAATTAATTTTTAATTTTCGACAGAAAGTGTCGCAATGCTGGCTGGGCTGTTGCCATGAAGCACAGCCAGCCAAAATTAATTGCAAGCGTAAAATACAACAACAAAAAAACTCAAAATCGACTGACTGTAACAAATATGTATAAAATGTATATGTGTGTAAGCGCAGCAGTGGCGGATTCGCAATTAATTTTAGATTTTTTGGATCTTCTCTACAAAGAATGAACGTGTGGCATTCTAATAAGTACGGCAAGGTCTGCTGCACGCTATGCGATGCCATCTTCTTGTCGCTACTTGTCATTCTAAATTGAAAGTTGACCACACTGCTGCCTGCTGGCTGTTGTGGCTGTGTGGTAGGAATTTTTTAGGCGTCCATATAAATCATTTTGATGACCATCAGCGACGTGCTTGTGACTGCGCTAAAAAGTCATATACGAAGTAAAACTGCGCGCTGGCAGTAGAGTGCAGTGGATTGCCGCGTCTTTAATTGCCTTTTTTTGCTGGCTGCTGCTGTTGTTGCAATCTTCTTCAATCATTTTTGCGCTCGTACGCTTATCATTAGCTGGCGCTTTTTATTTCAGCGTTGAATACAAGTTGATTACCGAATGTTTGTCTTTAACTGAGTGTTAGTTGCTGCGGTAATATACTTTTATAGCTTTGTAATTAAATAAGATTAAGATTTGAGCCTAAGTACTTAGCTGCTAAAGAATGTCTCTATTGGTGCTCTATTGGTGGTGATTGGCAATTGAAGAGGAAATGCTTTTAGTCGCTCTTTGTCAGCAATTGTATCTCAGTTCTTGTGACTGCTTTGCACTTTATGCCTATAAAAATGTAGTTTTTGGATAGTAGCTGATAAAAAAACGGATCAAAGTGAAGTTAAGTTAAAAGTAGTTTGCTTTGAAGACATTCAAGTTGGATTTGTTTAGAAAGAGCGGCTAAAAATTAACAGCACTGAGTATTCACTAAAAATCGAAGATATATTTAGCATTTGAGAGTAGTTTTTTTTTCAATTTCCTGCGCGTCATTACTTAAGTCATTTGCATATTCGAAACTATTGTTAAACAACTCTTGATTGAAAGAAAAAGTTCGCTGCTTAAGTCTTTCGTTTGATGATATTTTTCGCGCGAAACTAATTGAAATTTTGGCATGAAAACAAATACAATAACAACTCAAGGAAAAAAATGTATGTTATAAAAAGCTATGAAATGCTATTAATAACGCTGCTAAGTATTCAGCCAAAAATCAGCTGCGGAAAAAAGTTCAAAGCATTTTAACGCCTCAAGATGAATTGCATGTCAAATTAAGCGCCGGGCATGTCTCGTATTTTCAACTGGGGCGCGCTGAGTGGCACAAAAACGAAATGAAAAATGGAGAGAAACTGACAAAAAAAATATATAGATACAAAATTGATACACAAGCTTTAAAATATTGTGGCTGTGCAAAAGAAAAAAGCGATGATTGTTCGTTGTATATGTACCTTTTTTAGTGGCAGGCAAATTATGGATGAGGTGAAAATATTTACTTTCAATATAATTTATTACCAAATTTATTGTCAATTTGTGCTACGATTCCGCTCAGTGAACATCTAATTTTGTATTGTTTATACATAAGCGCTTTTAAAGTCGATTGAAAAAAAATAATGTATACAATAAAGTCAACAAAAATGTATCGTAAATCGAAATTGATCTTTGCTCTGCTTCGACTGAGCAGCTTTAAATTTCCAATATTCCTAGTTTATACATTTTTTATTGTCTTTAGTTAGACTGCATTTATTTCCGTAATTAAAAATGAGACTCTAATTGTGTTTATAATTTTTTATATGTATAAAAAGGTGGTAGTAGGGTAAAAACTAAAAAAATCCATTATTATGAAAATTTTTTCTACGGGTTTCTTCCCAAAAATATGGTTGTTGAAAAAACTTTTTTTAATTTACTGTTTTTGTTTACAAATTTGCATGCATTTGGAAACTCATTTCTGTAGATAGTTAAAATTTTTTCGCCAAATTGTAATATACAATTTGAAACAAAAAATTATAATTCATAAATTTTTTTGGTTTTGAAAATTCGTTTGCAATTAAAAAAAGGAAACAGAATAGCGTTGGAAATACTAAATTTAAGAAGTTAAGAAAATATCAAATTTATTATATAAAATTTTAAACCTAAATTTAATAGAAACAAAACATGTACTCATTACTTTTTACAAAAGCAACACATCATAAGGCTAATTTTTATTTAATTTTTTTGATAAGGGAAAAAGCAAACCCATTAAACTTTTTACGGTTCAGTTCTTATGCTAAAACGCTGTTTTCAGGATTTGGTAACATCATCTTTCTTAAAAGAAAAATCTTCGAATAAAAATTTTTATAATACCAGATTTCAACTTGGCTTAAAATGAAGAAGACATTTGAAAAATGCGAAATTTTCTACTTTCCAGGGAGAACGACTAACATATTTCAAAAAAACCTCTCTAAAACCTTTTTGATTAAAAAAACTTCAATAATTTTGTAATCTCATCTACATACATAGGTTGAAATTAAAATAGTGAGTTTTATGCATACTTTTCTACGAATTTGCTATGAAAAAATATTTTTTTATATAGCTTTTTGGTTTTAGGTTGAAATGTTTGGAGCAAAAAAAACATATTTAAGTATAACACTTTTTTTTCAAATTGTTATGTAAAAAAAAAATGATTCTAAAATTTTTTCCTTTGTATAAAATATGTGTTATTAAAAATCGTTTAAAACCTGCTTTAAAGTCATTTTATTTGTATAATTTTAGAAACAGTTATTTTTAATCTCGCAAAAATTGTAATCAATATTTGTAATAAATTTTCAAATCGGATTGCAATTATTTGACTGGTAAAAATACTTTTTTCCAGAAACTCAAAAGGAAAAACTATTGAAGCATGGGTCTTCACATATTTCCTATATTGGCATCACTGGTAGATTTTTTAGATATTTTAAGCCTATAAACTTAAAATTATTTGACTGGTAAAAATAGTTTTTTTTTTTCAGAAATTCATTAGAAAAAGCTTTGAAGCATTGACTTCCAACTTTTTAAATTAAAAAAAAAAATAAAATCCCAAGGGAGATTTAAAAAATTATTATAAAGAACTGATTGCTTCTTTACAAAAAAGGCAAATAATCAGATTATTTTTTTCAACCAAGTCAAAACTTTTTAACTTTAATTTTTCTCCAAAATTCCATTCAAATAAAATCTTTTTTTTTCAAGGCATTTTGTTGACGCAAATAGAAAAAAATGCGTAGCAAAAATAAGTCCTTTTTAAGAGCTCCGAGGTTTTCTTTTTTTTTTTGTTAAATTACAAAAATATTTTTTTTTTCAAACAATAAAATTCGAGCTTTAAAACATTTATCATGCATAATGTACACACAAGTTAAAAAACCAGGTTTCTTTACAAAAAATTGTCAGTCAAATTCTGCGAGTCCTTAATTTATTTCCACCCAATCTGCTGGCAGCACTCAGATACGCCAACTAATTTTTGACACAATACAATTTTTTGCAATTTTTTTTTTTTTCAGTATAAATGTACGTCTTTTTTTTGTAAAACTTCGTTTGCTTTGCCGTACCTTCATTTTGTATATTCACTTATATGAGTTTTGAATTATCACACACAAAAGTTGGTTAGATGTTAGCTGTTTGTTCTTCTTGCGAAGATGGTTGAATTGAATTTGATACTGAAACAGTTTCGTAGGCCAGTATTTATATTGTTTGAAAGAAATAGTAGTGCAGTGCGGCAGCTTAGAGCTAACTGTTAGCAATTGGCAGCCGGCAGCGGCAGGCAAAGAGGCTGCTGCCGAAAGCGTTGGCCCAAAGTGGCTGGCGACGACGGCGGAGATGCTACAGGTGGCGGTGGTGCGAGGTGACAGCGCAACTAAGGCAACGGCGTCGAGGGTGGTGGCAGAGCACAGGGAAGAGGAAGTCAAAGCAGCAAAAGATAACACCAAGATGGCAAAATTGCGCGCCAAGTTTTTGAAAATCGACAACAAAAAGGCAGTCAGCTATTTACAACAGATCATACAACTAGAAAACAAATGCGCTCTTACATACA